GAGGCACAATGTATCTATCTACACCTCCATTTTTGCCGGAAGCATTATAGACATTTTGAGCCAGAGAATCTGTTGTCGTGGGGGCTGTCCTGCATGTTACAGGGTGTTTAGCAGCATCCCTTACCACTGCTCACTAGTTGCCAGCAACACCCTGCCAGTTCAGAGAACCAAAAATGTCTCTCCGGACATTGGCAGATATCTTGTAGGGGGTTAGCGGGTGAACCAAATCACCCTCAGTAGAGAGCCACAAGATTAGTCAGAGATGAAACCAGATAAGAATGACAGAATGCCTTTGGCTGTTTCAGCTGAGTGATGGGGGCATAAGGGTTCACTGTATTATTGTGTTTACTTAGTGTGTGTCTGAAACTCTCCACAATAACAAGATTTAGAAATAATAATAGTGGTCCACTCATGTGTAATCCAAAATAAAATTTTATTTTACAGTTGACACAAAACTTCTGTACTTCTGCACTTAAACTAGCTTCCCTCTAGATCTGCCGATCGTAGAACTTATTTTCAGAAAAGGTGACCTGTGCGTCCTCGTGTGCAGGAGCTTCTGCCCAGACACTAGAGCTTTCTCCCTCTTGCTCAGCCCTTTTCTCTTTCTGAAGAGGTTTTTGAGTCTGATCCACCCAACCACTTACTTTTCTCGGTCTGATTAGTGCTGGCCCGTCTTGCTTTCCATGAGACCAGCCTTCCCCCTGAGAGCTTGAGGCCTCTTCTATCTCTCGGTCAGAAGACTGCTCCCTTGGTGCCACCCACAGCAGCCGGGGGTCCGGTGCGGCCGCGCTCCAGGCGCCTTCACAGCCGTCAGCAGGGCCACCAGGGACCTGGAGAGGGGAGGGCCGAGCAAGCTAGTGAAATACTAAGTGAATCAGTTAACGAAAAAAAGTACAGTGAGTATCATGGTTAATGGTCAAATATAGAAAGATTTTTCTCTGAAAGATACTTTAAATTATTGATTTTAGGGAGAGGAAGCAGGGAAAGGAGTGTGAAACATCAGTTTTTGTTGTTCCACTTACAGATGCACTCACTGGTTGATTTTTGTACGTGTCCAGACCAGGGGTCGAACCCACAACCTTGGTGTGTAGGGACAGTGCTCTAATGAACCGAGGTACCCAGCCAGGGCAGAAGATTTTTCTCTTCTGACATTAGGAATAAAACAAGATGTCTGCTGCCACCATTTCTGTCCCACATGGCCCTGAAGTGCCAGTCAGAACAATAAGGCAAAAAAAAAAATCTTTTTAAAGAAATAAAATGTATACAGATTAGAAAGGAAGAAACAACACTGTGATTTTTAACAGAGAACATGTTCTCTTCTGGTCGGCACTTCCCCTTCCTCCCAGCAAAGTCGGGCCCTCCTCTGCCCTCTGTCGCTGAGAGAGAGGGGAGGGCATGGCCCGCGCACTCGGCACCTTGAACCGCTGCTTGGCGCTGCCTTACTGATGGCATTCACAGCACATACGTGGTTCTTGACCTTCTAGCAGTGTGTCTCTGTCTTCCCTACTCCAGGTTTTCATCACTACCGACACTCACAGTGGCCCCCCAAGCACAGGAGGAACACTAAGGAGTAAACCCCTCGGAACTTTCCATTGCTGGGTGATGCTCACCTTTCCCAGGTGCAGCATGCCGGCCGGCCCTGTGCCCCAGCATCCCTGCAACAACATGAGCCACGCCACTCCAGAAATTAGCGCTGAGGCTCAAACAGATTTGGCTGATGGCCCCCTCTTGCCCAATGCCTCAGGCCTCAGGAGGGGAACTATGAGCTATTTGCAAAGAGGGAGAGCAGCAGATTTTCCTGGTCAGTGGGGCCTTTCACCTTCACCTCCTACAGACAGCTGCTCTCTGTCAGACTGGCGCCTGCCTTTTGGGACTACATTGCCTTCTGTAAAACCGAAGGCTGAGGTTTCCATGCCTTCATGTCTGGTGTGGACAGAGTCTCGTTGACTGGACAAGGATTGAAAACGTTATATCGCAAGATATGGTAGACTGTGGGAAATTATGTCTGGGTCATTCAAAATTCCTTCTGTCACTTAAACCTGTATAATTGTTTATACACATTCTGTATCTCTGGGGAACAGAATGTATAGAAAAAATAAGAAGAATCCCATATGTTTTAAAATATAATCATTGATTTTCTTTCCTACCAACAAATAATAGTAAGACATGACTTTGATTTTGACAAGACTCTGCAGATTTGCTACATGGAAAATAAAGTTAAATCCTCACCAGGCCTCAAATAACATACTTAAAAAAGAAGGAGAAGAAAGAAATATTCCCAGTTAATAAAAAAGTAGAGAAAATAATGTCAAGCATACTATCTCACCACTCAGTCAGATCTTAACATGTTCCTACATTTGCTTTGAATCTTCTTTATATAAAGTAAATCATTACCGTTACTGCTGAAGCCCCCGGGGCCCCTGTCCTGCCCTTTCCCTCCCTCCATGCCCAGGGGTAACTACTGTTCTGATTCTGATTTTTATCATTCCCATCTGTGTTTCGATATGTGCAAATGATTTGTTTTGATATGTTATGAATGATTCACAATGATACGTAATTTTGTTTTACTTATTTTTGAACTTTATAAAAATGGTACCATGCATATCATTTCCCCCATATGCTTTGTGTTGCTCGACATAACGTTTTGTGAGACTTATCCGTATCGATATATGTCATTTGGGTTCATTCAGTTTAACTTCAGTGTCATCTTCCATTGCATTTGTTTGTCCTTTGTACCGTTAATGACCATTTAGATTGTTTCGGTCTTTTGCTTTTACAAACAGTGAACGCAGGAAGTATTTTTTAATGTGGGCAAGACTCTCTCTAAAGGATATGAGTGCTGTTGTGGGTTATGCACCTCTTCAGACAGATATGAACCTGATACATATATGTAATATCTGATATAGGACCAATTATATATACTACATATATATAAATTCATTCGTATGTTGAATTTCCTCCTAAGGGCTTTTTAGTCTATACTCTCAGCATAAGTATGAATTTTTTTTTTAAGATTTTATTTATTTATCTTCAGAGGGGAAGGGAAGGAGAGAGGGAGAGAAACATCAATGTATGGTTGCCTTTCATGCATCCCCTGCTGGGAACTGGCCTGCAGGGAACTGGCCTGCAACCCAGGCATGTGCCCTGGCTGGGAATCGAACCGCAATCATGAGGTTCACAGGCCCGTGCTTAATCCACTGAGCTACACCAGCTAGGGCATAAGTATGAGTTTTATTGTAACATATCCATGCCAATTCTTGGCATTGCCAACCTTTTTACTTTTGCCTGTCTGAGGAGTATGAAATGATATGCAGTTGTGCTTTTAATTTGCATTTGTTGGATTACTAATAAGGTTAACCATCATTTCACATGCCCATGCGCACATGAGTTTCTGTTTTTGTGAATTGCCTATTCAGGTCTTTGCCCCCTGTTTTCGTTGCCATCACTATCGGGTTTGCTGGTCTTTTATACATTTGTAAAAATCTGTATGTGTTCTGAATATTATTCCTTTGCCAGTGTGGCAGGTAGTCTCTCCCAGTTTGTGTCCTTTTACTTTGTTTTTGTGTCTTTTGATATAGACTTATTTTAAATTAGGTTTTTCAGTCTTTCCTGTGTTTCACATTCTTCTCTATCCATAAGTCATAAAAATAATCACTCTTCTTAAAGGTTTTCTTTTTATTACCTAGAGTTTGATCTGCCTGGAATTCTGCATACTTCCTCTTTTGAGTCACGTGCAGGGTGACCTCTGAGGAAGGGCAGCGGTCATTTCCCATGGGCTCTGGGAAGCGTTCCGACTCTGAGCTCTTTGTAGGGCTCTGGGGCAGTCTCTGCTCATCTCCCCTCTGCATGCTTGGGCACCTTTCTCTGTGAGCCACGGCCTTTTCAAAAAACAAAAAAAAAACTAGGAAAGTAAGAATTTTCATCTCTGGAGACCTAGAAAATCCAAATGCCCTTGAACTTTCTTTGTCTACAGTTGAGTGACCTACCAAGTTCAGGCCATTGGCCACATTATTGCATGAAATTACTCTTTCCTTAGTGTAGCTTTCTCACCGCTTTTTAATTGAGGCTTTATTATTATTTTTGTCTATAAAATGGGACCAATAAATAACGACAGGCCAGAGTCCTTTAAATACTAAATGAGATGAAACATTCCCAGCCTCACTCTGGGCAGTTGGTGGGCGGTTGGGAAAGTTGATACCCTTCCAAACAATTTGCATTGAACAGAACAACAACAAGAAAGGGCAGATTGTGCTAAGAGACTGATGTTTAAATTTGGTTTAATCTCCTACATCTCCACTAGCATTCAGAGAAATTCAGATTACAGCAGTGCTGAGCGCAGTGTGTACCTGTTGAACAAGCGGGGCTTTTTTGAGTTTTCAGTGCCAGCAAAGCTGCAGTCAGCACCGCCGGCAGGTGCAGGCGGGCACGTTCTGCTCGGAACGCAGTTCAGGAAAGCAGCGCCAAGGGCCTCGAAAGTGTCCTTATCCTCTGATCTGTCCCAAAGACTCCGCCTAAGGAAGTACCATTGGTAGACCTGGAATTAAATGTATAAAGCTGTTTAGCGTTCATTATTTACAATAATCAAAACATAGAAAGAAATCAGAGGAGAATGGTTAAATATGCTGAAGTCGTACACACACACATACAGAGTACAGTATCACCTTTACAAGTCATGAGAATTTTAAAAACTGCCAAGGTGGAAAACTGGAATTCAAAAATTTCATATATTAAATGGAACAGGTCATAAAACTATGTACAGTATAATAATTCTAGGGTTTTTTATACACACACTGACTAGTGGGAATTGTACCACACTTACTATGGCTTCTTGTTATTTTTTCCTGGGTAATGGGAATTATAACAACATTTATTTTCCAAATTTCCTCCAGCGAGAATGTCATACATTTAAAATCAGGAAAATGCTATTATTAGTCAGCATGGGTGTAGTAGGTGCTGAGTGCACAGGACGTGGCTAGTAACGTTCCGCTTCGCTCCCGCAGCTGCTGCTGGACACCCATTCCCTGAAGATGGTCCTGCTCGATCTGCCTTCCATTGGCTCCCAGGTGGTAAGGAAAGCACCTGCCAGTTACACGAAGATCGTCGTGAAAGGCATGACCCGGGCGGAGATGATCCTCAAGGTGGGGCTCATGTCTTCGCTGGGGCTTCTGTTAAAGGGGGCTGGTCACCTGCTTGCTTATTCCAAGGAGTACTGGTTTTGAAATGACAGATGAGGGCCTGCCCCTTCCAGTCCCAAAGGGCTGTCCACACTCTGGCAGGACCAGGTTTAGGCCTCATCAGACATTGTTGAAAATCGGTGGACAATTCTTTGGGGGTCAGTGAATCTTCCTGACAAACGAATTCTTCATTGGAGTAGGGTTTCCTTGCAATAAGATTTGGCCAAAGTTGGAAGTTTGGCGGCATTGTCTCTGTGACTCAGTGTCTGAGGGGTCTCTCTGCTTCTCAGCCGCATTTCCAGTCCAACTGGCAGTTACTCCCTCCACAGGAGCCCCTTGGGCTTTCCCAACCCTGCAGCCATAAGGAACGCCAAACAGATGTGTCAGTAACTGACTCTAATCAGCTAATGGTTTTCTAGAGCCCCGTTTCACCAAGTACTATGTGTGGGGTGATGTTGCAAACGTCTGAGGCATTAAGCACCTGCATCCGATTTTCACCTGTGCTTGCTGAGACGCAAGGGGGCCTTTTGGAGAGAAATAGAGGACAAATGGAAGTATCATGAAAGCGCTAAAAATCCAGGGTCTGCAGGTTCATCAGGTCTCTCTCCCAAACAGAATGACTCCGATGGTAGCAGGAGGAAAAAAGTAGGTGTGGGACCCGAGACAGGTGGGCCTGGGTGAAGGTCTCGCACAGACCATGAGCTGGTGGCCTGAGGGGACCAGAAGCAGCCTGGTAATCAGCTTCCTCTGCAGCTGGTCTCCTCACCAGGAGGAGAGCGGAGTTTGGGGTTTATCTGCACAGAATTTTTTACTTTTCACAAATAACATATATTTTCTCCATGTTTCCTAAGTATAATAAAACATTTCCCTTAGTGAATTTGTACCTTAGGTACAAATATTTACGAAATAATTAACACCAGTTTTCCCAGATTAGCGTGATAGCAAACATGTGCTGAAACCATCTTGATTTTATTCCCAGACAGAAAAATAATCTTGAGTGTATTTGAATTGCTCAGAAAGAAAGTCATTAAAGTTCCATGTTTATTTTAAAAATGTGACTTCATCTTCGTTTCATGAATTTTGTACTTTGAAATGGGAGAATGACATTTAGACATTTCTGCAGAGAATTTCTGAGTGAACTACTCCTTGCCACTCTGAGTTACATGCTCAGGAATTCAAAACCAAACCAGTCTGCTGGAGGGAGCAAGTCAGACGCTGCATTTCAAAAGCAAAGGGAAATGAACGCAAGGGGTGTGAAGCCTTCCCTTCATTCTGCTTCTGTGTTACTTGGGTGTAGTTAAATGAAGTTCCAGATTTTAAGTCTTGAAAAGAGTGAGGCAGCTTTGGGGTTTGGGTTTTTGACAAAAATCTACCTAAATCAGGGCCTGTTGCTGCCCAGTCCTCGGGAATAATGATGTGTCGAGACACAAGGAGCAGGTGCCACGAAACCACGAGGTGTCTCTAGCAGGAGCCCCTCCAACACAGTTTCAGAGGGTCCTGATGTTTTAAAAACCACCTGGGACCCCCCCGTGGCCCTCCGAATTAGATTCTCCAGAGGGGAGACTTAGGAATCTGCACTTGAAAAGCAATCCAGGTGACTCTTATGATTCAACAAATTTAGGAAACTTTGCTCCGAGTGAATGTTGAGCTGAAAGAGGCCGTCTGCGTTTGAGATGGCTGCCGCCAAGGACGCCCTGCCGGTGGGCGGGCTGTGGCAGCGAGGCTGGCCCTCCAACCACCAGCCTCCCTTGAGAGCCCGCTCCCGTCTCCCTTTACAGGTGGTGATGGCCCCTCACGAACCCTCCGTGGTATTTGTTGACAACTACATCAAACTCCTTTCGGACTGCAACACAGAAACTTTCCAAAAGATACTGGACATGAAGGTTAGTTCAGTGTCTCCTTTCCTCCCCAACCACGGCCTTCTCACTCTCGGTGGCTCCTAATGGCGGGGGTGGGAGGTTGGGGGTGGTATGGCCCCGGGGAGCCTTCTCAAAGTGCACGTGCAGGCCCAGTGCTGCAGCCTTTTGAGGGGGCTCCGGGCAAGGGAACTCCCTGATTACCTCCCCGCCCAGCGAGAAGCGCTGCTCAGTGGCAGGAATGGAATGGAGTGTTACTCTCCCGCCCGTTTACCTGTGCGCTCTTCCCTCTCCAGCCCTTCCTTCTCTCCCACCCCGTTTCCTGTTTCTCTTCCTCTGCTTCTCTCCCAGGCTGCTTACCGCCCAGGCCCCGTGACTCCCCGGGAAGGCAGTGTTAGTCCTCAGCCCAGAGCTAACGTGCTGTTTGCAGGGCCTCAGCCCACAGCAGCCAGGTGCTACCCTTGCCCGTGGCGCCAGACCTCTGAGAGCGCCCTTTCTCTTTCCGCCCCAGGGGCTGAAGAGGAGCGAGCAGAGCGGCATGCTGGAACTCTTCCGCCAGAGGCTCCCCACCCCGCCCTCGGGGCCCGAAGGGCCCGGCTCACTGTCCCTCTTGGCTCCCACACCGGAACAGGAATCGTCCCGCATCCGCAAACTGGAGAAGCTAATTAAGAAGAGACTGTAGGAGCACTGGCCAGCAGCCCCCAGCACCCAGCCTCCTGGAAGCCCCCACCTCTCCTGCGCCCACCCTGACTCTCAGATTATGGACCTTGAAACTTCCCCGGACATCGGATTGTCAGTGTGCCTCCCCCACGCCCCGACTTAATCCCTGCCCTAAGGGGAGAAGCCAAGTTAAGGTCCCCGGTACAAAAAGGCAGTTTCACTGGCCTCTCATTCCCGCAGCAGAGGCAGCACTGGGTGAGACACTGTCACACTGGGCCGCTCTCAGCTGGTCAGTTGTCACTCTGCCGCCTCCCTCCCTCTGCTGTCGCGCCCCCTGGCGTGTGGCCCTCTTCCCTACCATGCACCTCTCCGGGCAGCGTGGGTGACCAGGCCTGTTTGGTCCTCCGTCTGCCACTGTTGGAGGCTGGCTCTCGGGGCCGCAGTTACCGGGGCTGCAGGTCACAGGCGTAGGTACCAGTCTTCCTTTATGAGGGAAATGGAGGCAGGAACTCTGCCGAGTGATCCCAGTTTGGGTACCTGTTTTGTTTCTGGTCCTTTTCGACTTGGCCGAGTGATCCCTGTCTTCTGACTTCTCATGAGTCTCCAATTCGCCCTGTCTGTACATCCAAGGGAAGATTTTCTCTGCCTCCCACGCAGGACTGGACACGCGAGGCCTCGGAAGCAGGTGCCGTCTGTGCCGTGGGCTCCTGGCCAGGGTGCGGGGCAGCCCCCGTCTGCCTGGGAGAGAGGGTTCTCAGCTTGGCACACTCACTGCGTGACATAAGGTTATTCCCTCCCGTTCTGCCCCTGACTTCTGGGTGCGGGGGTGCCTTCTGTGTAGGGAAACCAGGAAGTTTTCCTAGAAAAGAGTTCCTAGGCTTTCTCCTCAGACAAAGCTCTGGGGCAGCCCAGGAAGCCTCTGCCCTCTAGTGCCCTCCTAGCCGTCCATGTTCGAATCCAAAGTGCTTGGCAGAATTATCTGAAAACAACAAAGGAGGTGCGATACCGGAACGACATTACTTTATCACTAATGAAATAGAAGCTAGCCCGTGGGTCCTCGGGAACAGAACGCCGACCGTACAAACTCAGAGTGGGCACAGTCCAGAAGGCCCCCCGGCCCACCCGGCCGGCCCCCGCGGCTCCGGGCCAGCACAGCCGTGCGGGAAACACTGGCCTCGGAGCTGTGTCTGTCCTCGAGACCATCCCGCATCAGGGGAACAGGCTACAGAGTTGCCCTGGCTCGCCGGTCCCCTGGAGACCAAGCCTCTGGCAGCTGCCCCTGGACTCGGGGTGACTGGCAGCCTCAGTCAGCATTTGCTCAGGAATTGTGAACAGTGTGTTGGCCAGGCGGGGCGAGGGCTGAGGAGGAGGGTGGAGTTTTTTACAGAGAGTGCCTCAGGGTAACATTCAGCACGGAGGAAGTTCCCGAAACATTCACAAAAGTTGTGACGGTGATACAGTAGGAAACTTCAAGGTTTGGAAATCTGACCAGAAACTGACCGTTTCCCCCCTTGTCGTCCGCTGTAACGGCTCCTCAGCGTCCCCAGCTCTCCTCAGCCTGTCACCCAGACTCGGCCCACTGCCCCGGCCGTCCTCCGGGCCTCCTTTCTTCATCTGCCTCCAGCCTGTTGCTGGTCCACCTGACTCGTGCGTTGAGCATCTCGGGCTTGAGAACACTGAGAAGAAAATAAGTGGTGGAAGAAAGAGGTGTAGCCTCTAGCTGAGCTCAATTAGGAAAAGACGGCTGAGGGGGAAAAGTGCAGGCAGGGTGGGGAGGGGGGCGGAGAGCCCCGGCAGCTCAGTGGGCAGGCTTCGCTGTGCCCACGCGGCCCAGGTGCAGTTACAGACCTGGAGCCAGCTCTTCCCACTGGTGCGGGAAGGGGCAGCGGGCCTGCCTCCGGAGGGCACAGCCACCTCAGCATCGGTCTCGGTCCTGGTCCCGTCCCGAGGAGGCCGCCGCACCTGGTTCTCGCCACTCGGTGTCTGCAGACCCCCAATCCTTTTCTGGTTGGTTCGTAGGGAGCCATTTTCTGGATGTCTCCATAATGGCATTGAGATGTCAGCCCTGTTTTCTGCAGGTTGGTGGTCACCGCCAGGGAAGTTGCGCTCTCGATTTGTTGCAGCATCAGTGACGTCTGAGGACTCGGCGCACGTCAGCAGGAGTTGTGTGTTAAACATCCCAGTGAGGGAGTCTGAGTGCCCCTGTGCAGGAGCTGAGGGCCTGCATCGGGACCACCGGCGCCGGGCAAACACAAGTGTGGGGAGTCTGCATTTCTGGAGGGTTCCTTTGGTGATTTGACTCCTTGTTAAGAACCATTGTGATAGAAATTTGCCTTATTGAACGGTTCCTACAGCACATTTCCGTAAATGTGTATTTTTTCCAGCACTCTAAGCAAGCGAAACTACTGTGCAGTTGAACTGCACCCCAACACGGTAAAGATTCTTTGCTGATAGACAGCAGCATTCACTTTAAACTTGTGTCGATAGTAAGGATGAAGCCAGAAAATGGGCTGTCCTCCTACTCATTGGGATTCTTCCTGTTTTGATGAGCCAACCCCCAAAAGAAGTTTTATTTATTACTGTCATTTTGAAATAACATATGTAAAGGAGCAGACATTGATAAAAACGGTAGCGAACCACTCTGTTATTAAGCTAAACTTAGATATTGTTCATTCCTCAGAGTGTCTGTAGCCCTTAACGAAAAGTTTGAAGTCACTTTATATGATAAAAATAAATACTGGTAATTTACAATTGACAACAAGTTCACTGCTGTTTTTATTATGAACAGACTTCCTGAGAGCTGGCCGAGGGATGCCCAGGCTGGAGAGAGTTCTGTTTGGATCGTCACAGGGAACCACAAAGAAAAAGAACAGGGTGTTTTAGCCTCCTGATTCAGTTCTGGCATTGAGGCTAATTGCCACCACTCCTCCCTCTCTTGAAGAACAAAGAACCTAGAAATAGGAGCCTCGGTGACTCCTCAACGCAAACCAGGCCCACCAGGACTTAGCAGACTGCCAGGGACCAGTGAGGCAGTGATGGGCAGCCGGTCCCAGGCCACCGCCCAGTGCCAGCAGTGGGACACCAGCGGGGGAAATGCCCGCAGCCCACAGCTGGAAATGCCATCCTGCTCCCTAGGAAGAGAAGTCTCCAAAGTAACGAGCTTGCTTGAGGGTGAAAGCAAGCGTTTCACACTTCTTGTCCAGTCCGAGTGAGATCGCTAAAAATAAAATGATGAGAACTGCATCAGGCCACTTAAACAATGCCTCGGAAACAGGGCCACGTGAAAAGCTGGCGCGCAGAAAGAGTGCTCCTGGGTCCTATACAGTAACCAAACTCCCTGTCTCGTTCCAGTGGTTATCAGAATAGATAGCCTCCTGGGCCCTCAGAGTTTCTGCGGCTCTACCTCTGGGAGGTATCCATTTCCTTAAAGAGATTGCTTTTTTTGTGTAAATAGCTTTCATTTTCCCCATCTGGAAGTAATTTCTTGGTGCATATTGGAGCATGAAATGCTACAGTTAATTAAAGCTTACTGGGTGTCGTTTGCTAGGATGTATTTCCTTACCGTTGACAGAAAACAGAGTGGACCATATAGGAAAGAATTAGCAAGCCCGTGAACCTCGGGCTCGCCTCTGCCTGGGCGTCTGCCCTTCTCCCCAGCCAGGCTGTGCCCCTTCCCTGCCACCTGTGGAAGCAGCACCCGGCTCAGACACTGGTGTTCCTCACAAGGTCCTGGCACGTCCCGCTGCAGTGCAAATATCTGTAAATACGTGTAAAGTGCTCTGCTGCTGATTGGAAACCTTCCTGCGCCCTGAATTTCTCTCCTGTTTACTTTCCCACCTCACTGTTCGATCACAGCCTGCTTTTCCATGTGACTACCTAAGGGATTTCTCTCCTGTATGCAGTAGGTTAATCCTGCCTCCTTAATAACTGGGTGGGCATTCTGCAGTGAACTTTTTGGGAAGTCTGATGGCTCTTCCCACAGTGGAAAATGTGTGGCCGTGCTCCCATTAGGTTGGCTTCGAGATCATTACCCAGTTTCCATCCGTGGTTTTCACCAGCTCCCCACTTTAGCAGGGCAGGCAGGGATCAGTCTGGTGAGAAAAGAAACTCTTCCATATAAGCCACTGGGAACAGCAGTGCAAGATGATTTGCCTGTGAGGTTTTCTTCCCCACCTGTGTAACCGGGCGCAAGCGGTGGGATAAGAAGAATGTGCCCATTTGAAACAAAAGCAGCCTAGGACTGGAGACCTCTAAAGAGCCCCTGGTCTCCCAGTCCAGTTGCAGTGCTTGGATATCGGGCGAGCCCTTGACCCTCTGAGGCCCAGTTTTCAATCCGTGAAAAGGGATTATAACCAACAGGGCCGTGAAGGGCCCACAAGACCGGGTTGTGTACACAGGCTCTGTAAGCTGTGCAGCAGTGTAGGAAGTGATTAAGTTCATGGTCATTCGCCAAGCCTGACCCATGCGTCAGGCGGGTATACAACACCAGGCAGCCACAGGGCTGCTTCTTCCCTGGGGCGGGACTTGAATAAAATGCCCAGGTGAAGACATACCTGCTGTGTGCGGGCTGCATCCTCAGCATCGGGATAACCAGTCTTTGCCTTTTAAGAACGTGATTGTGATACCAACTTATCCAAGAGTTTTAAAAGACTCTCCATCCTCTATTCCTCTTGCCCCAGAAGCTGCTCTTTTCATAACATGTAGGGATAAACTTGCAGGCTCCGAGAGGAGAGCTTCCTCCCTCCCGGTGGTGTTGGCGGGCTTACCCATTGTGGAAAGTGGGGCATGTTCCCTCTGAATGCAAATTAGGAGGGTTGCTGAAGACTTCCTTCCAAAAAAAACTCTTTTTAATATGGTGTCTGCAGACCAGACTTCCAAGTGGCCATTCCTGGCAGGGACAAAATTCTTGACTGCACCCTTTTTTTTTTGTTTGTTTTCATCTACAATGCCCAAAAAATTCTAAGCAAAATTTTCTTGGGACAGGCTGGGAACCCTGAGGTTCACCACCTATTTGGATAACTGCAGTTGCTGTTCAGAGAAGTTTCAAGCCTTCCCAAGGCCGGCAGGCTCCCAGTAATCAGCTGGAAAGGACTCATCTGGCTCTTCAATCCCCTGTGGGTTGGTGATGCAGAGCAAGCTGGGCACTGGAGTGATGTTCAAGTGAAAACTGCTAATGCTTTGTCCCCTAGGAATGTCTGTCACTTCATCTGAGGGCTCTGGTAGCTTCTGCTCAATAAGTAAATGGAATTTGCACAATTGCCAGCCTCCTCCTGTTTGGGGGTAATTTTGCAACAAGTGAGACATCAACATCAGCTTCCCCACAAACCTCCCTCGACTTCTGGAGCCGAGAAAGGTATTTGCAAAGTGGACTGCAACTTTCAGGGGGCACCGGATGCAATGGCAAGAAACTCAAGCTTCTTCTTGTTCGCTTTGTGCTGGTGGAAAAGGAAGGCACTTGGAGGAGCAGGGATGCGTTCTCACTAGCTGCTAGAGAGACCGCATTCCAAGAATTCGTTACAAAGGAGTGACTCTGATTGGGCTACCAGAGCAGCCCCTGAAGAGCTTTAGCAGGCAAATGGGAAAAATACCAAATGTTGCCTGAAGAAAACGGGAGTTCACAGCAGAGACACTCCCACAACCTCCTACGCCCGCCTGCTTGCACGACTCTGACAGGATCCCCAGAGTCGGCTGGCTCTGCCAGAGGAGGGCCCTGATGGCAGTCAAGGTCAAGCTGGTTTAGCCTTGGGCCTTAGCTGCTGTCCAGCGACTGCCCGGCATGCAGAAAATTAGTATCTTTGATCGAGAGGGGGGGCTGAGAGGTCTGAGTCAGTCAGGGCTATCTGTGTACCCTGGGGGTCCAGGAGGGGGAGGGCACCAATACGGATGTCTGTGCCCCCTAAGATGCATTGTGATATCTCAGCAGATAAAAGCCCCTGTCGAGGAGGTGCGAGTGGCTCCATTTCGTAGATACGGACCCGGGGGCCTGGAGGGCCGGTGCTCCCAGGTGGCTGGGCCAGGGTTCGGCTCAGGCCTGGCTCTTTGCACTAGTGGTGGTTTTCAGTGTATGAGACACTGAGTTGCAGAGACTGACAGAAATATTGTATTTTATGAGTTCGAATATCTTTTAAAGCAAATCAGTAAGCACACTGAAACTATTTCAGCAAGCAGAAAGCATTTTATTTTTTAAAGATTTTATTTACTTATTTTAGAGGAGAAGGGAAGGAGAAAGAGAGGGAAACATCCATCAGTTGCCTCTCTCATGCGCCCTCACCGGTGGCCCTGCGACCCCTCGCTTTGTGGGATGACAACCAACTGAGCCACACAGGTCAGGATAATAGAAAGCATTTTATTATTTTTTAATTGTTTTTAATTTATTTATTAATTTTTTAAATATATATTTTTTATTTTTAAAGAGGAAGGGAAGGAGAAAGAGTGGGAGAGAAACATCAATGTGTGGTTGCCTCCCATGTGTCCCTCACGGGGGACCTGGCCTGCAACCCAGGCATGTGCCCTGACTGGGAATCGAACTGGCGACCCTTTGCTTCACAGGCCCGTGCTCAATCCACTGAGTCACAGCAGCCAGGGCAACATTTTAAATCTCAGTTTGCAGATGAGAATTTATGTATTTTGAATCTCTAGCATCCAATTTATTTCTGTGTCTTACTTTGGTTACATAGAATAGAGAAGTCATGATTCAATTCAGCTGAGAATTTGGAAACAGCTTATGTTTTCTTTTGTTTTTAACAGCCTTTCTTTCGAGTCCAGATACTCTTCAGCCGCAGGGATGTGACAAGGGCCCTTTGTTGGGAGGCTGCCATGGACTCAGAGGCCCTCGTCAGCACGAAGAGGGTCTTTCTCCCCTGACACGTTTGATGCCTATTGTGTTACTACAGTTTCGAATGTCCAGTTTTCAGAATAGGTTTACTTTATTGATTATGCCATTACAGTTGTTCTATTCCCCCCCTTCATTCCCCTCCACCCTGCACACCCCTCCCCCGTCATTCCCCCCCTTTAGTTTATGTCCACATGTCACAAGTTCTTTACATTCTGTATTTCCCCTACTATCCTTGCCCTCCCCCCTATTTTCTACCTACCGTCTATGCTACTTATTCTCTGTACCTTCTCCCCCCTTCTCCTCCTCCCACTCCCCTGTTGCTAACCCTCCATGTGATCTCCATTTCTATGTTTCCACTCCTGATCTAGCTGTCCTCATAGTTTGCTTTTGTTTTAGGTGTGGTTCTTAATATCTGTGAGTTTGCTGTCCTTTCACTGTTCGTATTTTTATCTTCTTTTTCCTAGGTAAGTCCCTTTAACATTTCATATAATATGGGCTTGGTGATGATGAACTCCTTGAATTTGGTCTTATCTGAGAAGCACTTTATCTGTCCTTCCATTCTAAATGAAAGCTTTGCTGGATAGATCAATCTTGGATGTAGGTCTTTGGATTTCATGACTTGGAATACTTCTTTCCAGCCCCTTCTTGCCTGTAAGGTCTCTTTTGAGAAATCAGCTGACAGTCTGATGGGAACTCCTTTGTAGGTGACTGTCCCCTTATCTCTTGCTGCTTCTAAGATTCTCTCCTTCATTTTCATCTTGGCTAATGTAATGATGATGTGCCTTGGTGTGTTCCTTCTTGGGTCCAACTTCTTTGGGACTCTCTGAGCTTCCTGGATTTCCTGGAAGTCTATTTCCTTTGCCAGATTGGGGAAGTTCTCCTTTATTATTTGTTCAAGTAAGTGTTCCACTTGTTGCTGTTCCTCTTCCCCTTCTGGTACCCCTATAATTCGGATGTTGGAACGTTTAAAGATGTACTAAATGTTCCTAAGCCTCTCCTCATTTTTTTGAATTCTTGTTTCTTCATATTTTTCTGTTTGGTCATTTTTTTCTTCCTTCTGGTCCACTCCCTTGATTTGAGTCCCAGTTTCCTTTCCATTACTACTGGTTTCCTGTGCATTACCATTCATTTTAATTAGTTTAGCCTTCATATGTTCCTCTAATTTGTGA